GACTGTCTCAGCAAAAAAAGAGAGTTTTCTGTCACTGGAGGGATTTAGACATAGCTCAATGCAAATGTCAGAGATGGTGTGGAATGATGAAATCCATGATATCGTAGGTGGGGTGGATTAGCCCTGGTAGGGAGTGTGAGTTTAGAACCCTAAATCCCTTAAAACTTTGAGGTGCTGGGAATTACCCTGTCAGAACTGGCGTTGTCGGTATCACTGATGGTGTAGGTTATTCATACAAGGAAGACCCAAATGTTCAGATTATTTTCCCCTGGCTCAGTTTTATAAACGGCTTAAGAAAGCTTCCCTTTGTCCTTTATGCAGTTTGCTTTTGGTCATACATTTCAGTAATTTTCAATCCAAAAAATTTTAGCTCTTAATCCCTTAAAACTTTGAGGTGCTGGGAATTACCCTGTCAGAACTGGCGTTGTCGGTATCACTGATGGTGTAGGTTATTCATACAAGGAAGACCCAAATGTTCAGATTATTTTCCCCTGGCTCAGTTTTATAAACGGCTTAAGAAAGCTTCCCTTTGTCCTTTATGCAGTTTGCTTTTGATCATACATTTCAGTAATTTTCAATCCAAAAAATTTTAGCTTTATGTATCTCAGTTTCTCCTACATAAAGTCAGTGATACCAACAGATTTTATTTCCCTTCAATTGGGCCTTAATTTTGTAAACAAATGGAATTAACTTGCTATGGATTCACTATTGTCACATCACTTCCTAATATCACATCTGTCACAAATAGTTTTTAACAGGAACTCACTGCCTCTAGCTTTCATGCTGTTCAAGTCATTGACTGAGTGGCCAGCAGATTGAATATTTAAAAGGCAAAATGTTTGTCCCATCGCAAAGAAATTCTAAATTACTCAACTTAAAATAGGAACTTCGCATTTGGTCTTCTTCCCTTTTGAATAGCTTAAACTCATACCATTTCTGCTTACAAACCAATTTATATGATAAAACAATTATCAATTAGCAATCCCAGCATATATTACATTCTTCTGTAATTTTATACAAACTATTTTCTGTTCTTAGAATTCCATTCTCAATCTCCTTTATCTTGTTAATACCTATTAAAGAATTATGACTCTCGAAAGCCAGTTTGTTCTGCCCGATTTGATTAAAGATACATAAATTCATTAATCCTCATTCAATTATGGGCTTTTCCCCCCTAATGTGAGAACCTAGAACGATTATTGCCAGTGCCTGATGTGCTACTGTCATCAAAAGAGTAGGAAACAGGGATCCTGCTAAGCCTCTTACAGTACAGGTGGTATTGCCTACAGCAACAGCAAAGAATCTACCTGGCCTCTGATGTCTATTGTGCTGAGACTGAGAAACCCTGCCCTAGCAGAATATTCTTTTCATTTTTCTCTTCATCCTCTCATTGCTCACAATATATACTTCAGCAGATCTTTAATTTGTATATTACCTTTCCAAAATTCTCCACGTCAACAATTACTCACATGGCCATGTTAAAGTTCCCAAATTTCTGTTCTTGATAAAGGCAGTAGTGTACATTTTTGAGCCAGGTCATCGAGATTGCTGGCTAATACACAGATGTTATCCTGTTGAAAAAGTGAACATAAATCAGACAGTAGCACATAATAAGCATGAACTATACAGCATGCACTTTACCAACTTGGTGAATTAATGAGGTGAAATGGGTGTCATTTCTATGAGAATCTAAACAGAAACACTCTGACTTAAATCATTAGTGTATTGTTTGAACAATCTGACTGGATTTAGTTACACACTAATACGTATTTTTTAATATTTTCTAAATTATAATAATATAGTCTTAGAGGATACAAATTTGTTTCATTTGTTCATTCTGGGTTAATATGCCAAATAATTTGGATTCAGAGAGATACACTTACAAGAAGTCAGATTCTCAAATAAGGTAATGATATAATATCGTAAGGTGAGGAAGGTAAAATATTCTAAAATGGTTAAAGATCTTAGGAGATGAATGACATTTAACACATATTTAATAAATGGTAGATGGTATTTTTCAGTTACAAGCACCCTGAAAAATGGAAAAAACTTCATAAATAGACAATAAATTCATCTTTGTTTCTCATTTGCTTCAAAAATACTTGGAATATAGTGAATACTTAATAATTCTTTGTAGGACAAAATCACTAGCAAATAAACTTCTAATTTGTTTGTAGTAATGCGAGCCTCTGTTGTGAGGAATATCTGGTTTAACATATTGTGTATTAGCTTGAAAGAAGTGTTCCTGAAAAGAGTCAGAAAAAAAAAAATAATAAAAAATAAAAGCCCTGCACTGAGCTTTACAGGTTTTTTAAAAAAGGAAGTAACTAATATTCCTTCAATTTACCTGAGTTGATTTACAGGAACCCTTTCATATTCTAGAGACAATCTAAGTTTATCCAGCGGGAAAAACATCTTGCAGCGTGATGGTGAGGACATAATTGTGAGATTTTTATTTTTATCACCAAACTGTTATTTTAGGCCATCCTCACTCTCTTTAACTATTTATTGTATACTGTACTTTTCAGAGAATGTTTTTCAATTACTAAATGAAAATAAATAAAAATTTAAATTATTCAATATTGTACATATTCTGGACTGAAAATATTTTCTTGAACAAGAGTTAAATACACGTTACAAACAGTCAGCAGGCAGGAAAGCACTCTTTAGCTTTGGAAGAAAAATAGGGAAAGCCACTCTGCACTGTAACCGAGATAATATTCAAGTCTGGCATCTTATCGTGTCCTGTGTTGAAGTGGCCTTTGAAGAGCAGAGTCAGACAATATGATGAAAATATTCCCATGGAAAACCATGTGCAGAAGAAAATTTTCAGCTCTACAGAAATCATTGTATTTTGAGTGAATAAAACATGAATGAAGCTGTAAGTAAAGATAAAATTACATTTAGTAAAGGGCTCAATATTATTTCAAATGGTTGAGCAGAAATGAGTATTCAGGCTTAGAAAGGTAATAATGGTTATTTCTGGGAGAGAGAAAACTGGAGGGTACAGATTCCACCTGATATTAGATACAAGTGATGTGCACATAGCAGGGCATGGAAGGTGAGAACAAGGTCTGAGAGAATCTGCTGAGGAAAAGACACGTGACTTCAAAAACAATAAATGTATTTTCTCAGAGAATAAGTGGGACAAGATATAAGATGTATGGTTGGATTTTGGGAAGACACTGAATGTTTGAAAATCTAGGTTAAATACATTCTGTGAGATTCTATGAGAGCAAGAACAGACTGTGAGGCCATTAACTTCACAAAACCAACTATGAGTTGCAAAACTGAAAAATACTCCAGCCAAACTCTACATTGATCTAGTTAAATGTTCTGCCACCACTGTGGATACTATATGTCCAGCACAGGTACTGTCTTCCTCTGGAAAATCTTTACTTTTCATTAAATGATTTTTTTCCCCAATTCCATTTTGCAGGTTACATAAAACGCACACATGATGAGTAACAGACAACAAATAAATGGTATCTGTTTGGTTCTGTAGTCATAGGCCAGGTAATATTTCATATTGTCCATTCCATCTGTTCATTCGAAATGAATAAGGCATGGAGAAACATGAAACCTGATGACTGGTCTCTCCATGACATTGAGAAAGGAAATAGAAAATCACAAATAAGTAGTTGGGATAGAAAAGATAAGATAATATATTACCAATAGAATTAAAGTATTGCTAAGATAAAATAATAACTTCTCATTTTTAATTCCTGAAGGGAATAGAAGATTAAACACCATTTCATTCTACTGAGCAAATGACCATGCACACCGCTTGATTCTACTGACCAAATCACCATGATCACATTCAATGGTTCAGTCTTCTTGCCCTCTGTATTTACACTAATTGGGATTCCCGGCCTAGAATCAGTGCAGTGCTGGATTGGGATTCCATTCTGTGCTATGTATCTCATTGCTGTTATGGGGAATTCCCTAATTTTAATTATAATCATATATGAAAACAGCCTCCATATACCCATGTACATTTTGTTATCTATGTTGGCAACGACAGACATTGCCCTTAGCACCTGCATTCTTCCTAAAATGCTAGGCATCTTTTGGTTTCATTTGCCAGAGATTTCTTTTGATACCTGCTTACTGCAGATGGGGCTTATTCACACATTCCAGGCAGTGGAGTCAGGCATCCTCCTGGCCATGGCCCTAGATCACTACGTGGCCATCTGTGACCCCTTGAGACATGCCGCCATCTTCTCCCATCAACTCTTGACTCATATTGGACTCGGGGTGACACTAAGGGCTGCCATCCTTGTAGTACCTTCCCTTTTGCTTATCAAATGCCGTCTTAAACTCTTCCGAACTACAATCGATATTTTCAAACTGCTGTTCCAACCCATACCTACCTGAAATTCTGGCTATGGATCACTTCCTAGTATTTGCTTTTAAATCTATATTTTCACAAATGTGAAGTAATTTATCTGGTTTTTATGTATTTTCTCTGAAATACTTATCATTATGAAGATAAATAAAATGAATAACAACACAAAAATTATATGATGCCACATAAAGCCTCTAAACACTGAGAAATTTGCATAGGAAAGAATGCATATAAAATAAACAAAGAAACAAAGAAACAAACAATGTAACCAACTGTACTTTTTTGGAAAAGCAAAAAATGGTCAAGATGCAAATGTACAAACATCCTCCCAGAATCACACATTTTAGTAATTTTTACCTAGTTTTGGTTTTACCCACATTTAACTTTAAGTTTTAGAATTGCACACATAGACAAGTGAATTCCAGTGCATTTAGAAATTTTTTATTGCAAGCATATTGATTCCAGGAATATGTGTCTTATTCACCTTTTATGAGCAATGGATAGGAGAATGTCTGAGTCTTCCTAGAATTTGTAAAAATAACATTGACTGATGAATGAATGAAACATTTTTCAGCTGTTAATCCGTGGTATTCCAAAACAACAAATTCAGAGGCTCTATGGTAATATACAACCTCACCATACAGAAAAATCTGCCCACTCATGTGTATTTTGTAATGCTGTTAAGGTAACAGAAAAATGAAAACCTCAAAGAATCTTTAGGTAATCTTATAGAAGGTACGACCCAAACACACAACCGACTCCTGGAACAGAAGCTTCACATCTTTCTTCACACTTTGCGATCCTCTGCTCCTCTTTCAGGATGCTGCATTTGTAGAGATTATTTTCAAATTTTCTTCAACTGACCTTCTAGACCGAAACAATAAAATGATTTAAAAAAATAACTAGTAGTCATGAACAGTTATGTGAATCTCTAATTTTAGACAGATGCATGGTTAAATAAAAAATAAAAAATAGAAGAAAACGTCTCACACACACACACACACAAATGGGACTATATCATTCAAGTGGTCGATGTAGAGAATTATATCTATTTTTTTTTATTTTGTCAATATACAATGTAGTTGATTATTATGTCCCATCACCGAAACCTCCCTCCCTCCTCCCTCTCCCCCCTCCCACCCAAGTGTGTCCCCTCCATTTGCTTGTTGAAAGAACTTCAAAAAAAAAATTGTGGTTGTTATTCTATTTTGAAAAAAGTGTTAATAATCCAGAAATATATTTGAGTCATAATTTGTTTGGTTTTTAATAAAATTCGTGTAAATAGGACCTATATTTAGTAAAAAAAAAAAAAAAAAAAAAAAAACAACAAAAGGGTTAAAATAATATGTTAGCTGACAGGCAGAAGAATAAGAAAGATGTTGAATGAGATAAAAAATTAACGGCTGAATAACTCACTTTAATTAGCTATTAAAGATTGAAGTATTTCAGCATTTGTGGCATCAATAGTGCAAAAAGAATAATTGATGATGAATCACGTTCTCAGAAGACAGAAAAATGACAAATGTATGAATTCTTCAAAAGAAATTATTATAAGTGAGTGATAAAGAGTGGAGATAATTCATATATGATATTTCTGAACAGGAAACTAAAACAAATTGTATATGATGATAATCACAGATTAATCAATAACGAGTTAACAAAGTATATTTCAAAGTATCTGTTATAAAAATGCAAATTGGAAAAAAACTATATTTTAAAAAATGAACTGAAAAAGTAAAAACCCATCCTTCGTGCATCAGAAAAAACATATATATTAGTCTTTAAGAATACTTAATTTCCTTTACTGTCTGGAGTATGAAAGAAGGCAAACATAAAAGACCTTAAAGATATAGACCATGAAGTAGAAAAAAAATATTGTTAAATGAAGAATTTATGGTATAATAAGACTGGTTTGGCGTTCCAGTCATTTAAGCCTATAATTAATTAAGGTGAACAATTAAGGGTGTAATAATTTTGCAAGAATTTTCTTTATATAAAATAGGAGAATAGGAACACATAAGTTAGTAAGAGTAGAAGTAAATAGAAGTGAAGCAGTATCCTTACCTTATCTATTAGTAAATAGCTAGAATTTATTGATTTAGTTATTATAGAAAAAATAGTCATATAGCCACTAAAACAGAAGTATTTTTCCTTGTTTTCTGAAATAAAAAGAAAAGTAAAAACAAAAAAACAAGAAACAGAGAGCACAAATTATCCTAAAGGAAACAACCATGAAACTGTCTTCTAGGTGAAGGAATAAATCATTGCTCGCTCCCAACGAGCTCTGTATGTTTCTCTTAAATATCACAGTCTCTCTCTTCTGTTATAGATAATATCTCTTATAACACCTACATGTCATTATTTCTTCGTTTTTTCTTGTTTTTCTATGTACTTTACAGCCTAAGCATGCATTCCTAAGTCTTATATTTTAGCTTTGCTCGGTTTTAATTTTATATAAATGGAACCACCCAGTAAATATTTTGTATATCTTTTATGAAGTTTATGCAGGTTATTATTTGTGTCTCTCTTAGGCTCATTTTACGTTCTGAATAACGCACCATGGTACAAACACATTAAGTTTCTTTGCCAACCAATGATGACGGGCATCGAGAAGGATCAGTTATGAATAAAATGTTTATCAACATTTGTGTATATGAATTGCAGGTTATTATTTGTGTCTCTCTTAGGCTCATTTTACGTTCTGAATAACGCACCATGGTATAAACACATTAAGTTTCTTTGCCAACCAATGATGATGGGCATCGAGAAGGATCAGTTATGAATAAAATGTTTATCAACATTTGTGTATATGAAATTTCACACGTTTAGAATGCTGATTTCTGCATCTAAGAATCAAATTCCTAATTCATATGGTACTAAAATCTTCCAACAGTAGTAGATATTGTAAAAGACCTCTGAAATGCCTATAGCAATTAAAAACACTAGCGCAATATAAGAATCTGCATTGCTTGACATCTTTACTAATACTTGGTATGCCTTTTGTAATTTTAGGCATGCATTACATATATTATAGTGATTCTTTGTGATTTGAATTGGCATTTTCCTGGTAACTAATAATAATGAGATTGAATCAAATTTTCATATACATATGGCCTATTTGGATATTCTTTTTGAAAAATTAAAGACCTTTGTTTATTATGTACTCAATTGTCTGCACTATTTTATTAATATGTAGGAAGTCTTTATGTACATTAGATGTAATTCTTTTCTATGTTAACATCTTGAAAATATTATCTCCTTTATAAAAAATATACTATTGATGTATTTTTGAAGGACAAATGTCTTTATTTTAATGTAATCCAAATGATCAAACATTTAATTAAAGGTTACTGCTGTCTGTGGTTTAAAAAATCTTTGACCATTGTATGTTTATGAACATATTCATCTTATTTATGTTTTTCATATTTGGATATAAAATCCATTTAGAATTGTTTTTTAGTTATAGGTAAAATAGGAGGTATTGCATACTTTTTTCAACTTTATTATAAGAAGTTGGCATAAAACTAACAGTACTTATTTAAAGTATACAGTCTGATGTGTTTTGACATTTGTGCATGTCTGTGAAACCATTACTCTAACTAATCTGTCACTTCCCAGAGTTTCCTCATGTGCATTCCTCCTTCTACATCTCCAGAGGACCAATGCTCTGCTTGCTTTCACTAGCAATGAGTTTGCATTTTCTTGAATTTTATGCAACTGTAGTGATAAAATAGTTAATTGTATTTTGGGTCTAGTTTCTTTCACTTACCTTAAATACTTTTAGATTTATTAATGAATAGTTTTTTGTTGTTGTTGCTAAATAGCGTTCCATTCTATGGATATGCTACAATTTGTTTATTCATTCATTTGTCCATGGATATATGTGTTCTCTCCAGTTTGGGGGTATGACAAATAAACTTGCTATGAATATCCATTGGAAAATGTTCATGGGACCTCTGCTTTCATTTGAGGGTACATACCTAGGGCTAAACTGGGTGGGTCGTAGTGTAGAATGGATCAAACTTGAGAATATCTCTGCAGTTCGGTATGGGCCCTTGTATACTTAAGAAAGATGTTGGGTAGCTCTGCTATTCCTCAGCTAAAGTGGGGCCACTCTGGGTAAGATTACTGGGGTTGTGGATTGATTCCTGCACCCCCAAGAGAAACACTGGGTCACTCTGCAGTTCCTTAGATGAAGTGTGTTGTCCCGTGCAAAGTTGTTTGTGTGGTGGGTGGGTCCCTGTGCCCCCAAGAGAGATACTTGATAACTTTCCAGCTCCTCAGCTAAAATACATCACCCCACACAAGGTCCCTGAGGTTGTTCTTTGGCCTCTGTACCCCCCAAATTGATAATGTTTTGCTTTCCAGCTCCTAGCTTGGGTGGGTGGCACAGGAAAGCTCACTGTATGTTCAGATGGGACTCCGTTGCTGAGAGAGGCATGTGGAAGCTTCACAGTTTCCCAGGCAGTGTGTGTGATTCTGGGTGGGTTTGCTGGAGCAGTGGCAAAATTCTGTGCCCCTGGGAGAGGTGCAAAGGCACTCTGCTAAAGGGAACAGAGCCAGCAGCCATGCTATGAGGCTCCAATTGGTTGGCTTTCTGTCTCTGGATTCCATGTCCACTTGTTCTCTCTGTCCTCTGGGTGGCCTCTGCACTGCACTGGACCGTCTGTTTCCAGGGTAATGGGCACTATATGGGCTTGAGACCTGGAATCCCAACTTGACAAAGGGGAATTAGAGGTTTGGAGATGCAGTGCTATCAGATGCACTGAGATCCCAATATGGCAAAATGTTGTGGCAGCCCAGGACTCAAGGTGGTGGGTGGGCTCAGTATGAACTCCCTCTCTGAGTTAATGTAGTCATGTGGGCTTCGAACAGCTCCCCACACTGGTATCACTGTCTGCAATGGCCAAGCAGCTCACTTATATCTTGGACTACAGATGTCCTTGGCACAATACATGCTTACCTTTTCCCTGCAGGCAGAAGTTCCTCCTGGTTTCATGATTAGGACAACTTCAAAAAAGAAAAGATT